CCGGAACGATTTGAGGCTAGAAGCAGCTGATGATTTCTGCTCGTTGGATGATCCAGGAGACTTACAAGGTAGTCATCCCCTGCGTAGACCTCTGTTTACCCACTCTTTACATCCCAACAACATGAGCTCTCAGCCCAGACATGAGAAGTTTCACATGACTGTGCTTCCCACTCTTTGGAAGGAAGGGCTGGTAACAGGTTTCAGGATGCTGAACCATCTCTGAAGGCGTTCCAGGAAAGCCCACAGGCAATGCTGAGCGTAAGTAACGCCCAGATCTTGACTCAGAGCGAGTGAAGGAGTTTATCCTCAGAGCAGGCAGCTCATCAATGTAAAACGAGTAGGGAAGAATAATCAAAGATTCTCAGATGATGAGAGTTTGGCTCATTTATGTGGGCTGTGCTATTTACACTGCAAAACAAACAAACAATCAAAAACCAGTATGGCAGAGCAAATTGACAAACGGCACCCAAGTAACCATTCTAAAATTACACGAGTCACGGCGTGGCTTGGAATAACTGCTCACTTAAAAGCAGATGTTGTTTAAGAAGGAGGCTGCTACGTGTGCACAGTGTTGGGGAAACTTTCGGGAAGACAGCTGCGCTCTGGTGCGGGGAGAGACAGTGCCTGCAGCCCCATGCCCTGCGGCTGGGTCTCTGCCCTGGGTTCCTTTGTCCTACCTGACACCCGGCTGACTTGAGGGCTACTTGACAGGTAAGAACTGACAATGGGGCAGGGTCTGGGCAGAGACAGTGCTCAGAGTCACCCCGTCAGGCCCCTGTCCCCACCCCTTTCTGCATGGCTGAGGCGTCTGGTGGAGAGCCGGGAAGAGCAGTGTGTGACAACTGGGTGTCTCACTCTGACACTGCACGGCATTTTTATCCCAGAAGTAAGGACAAGGATTTCTCACTCCAACCTCAGACAACAAGTGGTGACTTTGCAGTGGGTGGCGGCTGGCAGACGAAGACAGGGTCAGCTGCCCCCAGCTGCTCCCCGTCACCCCCTCTGCTGTCCTCCTACCCTGCTGCCCCTCTCTGGACATATTTTACATTTGCTTCTACATGAATCATCTGCCCCCTCCCACCGGCCCTGGAGGGCAGGACAGTGTCCATCCGCCTTCCCACTACTTTGCCAACGTGGTAGAAGCTGAATGGAGAACAAACAATCTATCAGCTACACGTGGGGAGCCTGGAGGAGCCATTTTCTTCCACATGCCGGCGTGAACAGCATCTTAAGAAAAACTCACGTGTGTTACAGGAACGGCTCAGGAAATCAGAATCTTGTCGTCTTTCCCCGTGGGGACTTGAGGGATGATTCTGCAAGGGACAGGAGGCGGCCCCATGGAGCATTGAGACCCCACAACACTGAGCTGTCCTGATGACAGAGGCCGAGGATGTCAACCGACACACCGAGCGTGGTGGGCAAGGGGGGTCCAGCCAGACCGGGAGAGGCCAGTGGTCCCGGCCTTGTTCTGGGCTCCTCATCTTGGCCTCCCAGGGGCTGGGGTCAGTCCAGATGACACTGGACCGTCTGGGCCGAGACAAGAAGGTGAAAGGGCCCATCTTCTGATGTGTTCACCTTTTAATACCAACAACGGATTAGGACATCCAGGTGCACAATTCCTGAAGACCGAGCCCTTTCTGATGTCACACTGTGGAGGGGAGAGACACATCTGGGGGAGGAGAGATGGACTTAGGATGGGAGGGTCAGGCAGCACTGCCCAGCTCCCAGGTGGGTCTCGGATGAGCCCTTAGGCCTCTAAGTATACGTCCGTGGAGGATGAAGTGACCGTGTGGGAGTGACATGCAGCCTGAGAATCCACTCACACAAAGATTGGGAAGGGCAGAAATACTTGGAGGAAAACAAGTCCTCCCAGCAGCCCCTCCTTTCTACGCACAGGAGGACACTAAATGTGAACGCTTACAGCCACCCCCTCGCAGCCTGACTGGCACGCCAGTGCCCCACGGGGGAGGAGGAGGCCGGAGCTAGAAGAAAGATGGGGGCACACGCCTTGGCTTTGTCTAGGGCACTGCCAGAGTCTGGGCCCAGAGGGGACAGAGTCGGGAAACCCTGCCCTTCCCAAGCAGAACTTGGAAACAAAAGCAGAAAAGTGGCATCAGAGAAACCACCAGACTGCATAAAAGAAGGGCGTGTCTTCCCCCCAAGCCAACCCGGACTGTTTCAAGCACTTTAAAGGTCTCTGGGTGGGTGGAGGCTGGGGGCCAGGGTGTCACCCAGGGCCTTGCAATTGTGGGATTTCAGAGAGTTACTGAAAGAGTAAAATGGGAGTGGACAAAGCTCAGGGGACCTTAACAAACCCCATCACCCCTCCTTTGAGTACTTTCCATGAGGAATAAAATCTCAAGCAAATGTCAGGACCAGGCCTTGGGTCGGTGTCAGGGATGTGTGAACGGCCTCTGAATTCCAGAGGTCAAGCAGAGAGGGGGCACACTGCCCAACCGAGAGCATCAGTGAGGCTGCAACAGGCCTGGCCGGGCCCAGACACACGTCCATGTGGCCTGAACCCCCCAAATCCTGTGCTCCAGTTGCACATACTTCACTACAGGTGGGCTGGGCTCTGCAGGCCTGTTCACTCATCAAGTCCTTGTATCCTCCCAAGGTTCCCAGTAGAGGGTTTTGGGAGGTAGCCACTTAAAAAATAAAACACTTTTATCTTTTTTTTTTTTCTTTGCAGTTTTTGGCTGGGGCTGGGTTTGAACCAGCCACCTCACTTTTACACACACTCCCTCAGTCATCAGGAAACGGTAGCCCTCGCCCACCTGGGTTTATTTTGACAGATGTCACCACAGAACTGTACACTCTAATGGCCGGGTGCCCATTAGGTGTCGGCACCCAGGACGTCTCCCACCCTACCTTGAGCATGTGGCTGTACTGAGGGGTGGGACAGGGGCTCTCTCACTTTAATCTTCCTTAATGTCTATGGACTCAGAGAAGAGTTCAGGGCATCCGAGGTACAGCCCATGGTTGGGGAGGGGACCTGAGCTGCAGTCTAAGATGACAGGGTGGATTCTAAGAGTCCATGGGGAACCCTGGGCTCCCACGATCAGTGAACGGACCGGCCTCAGCCCCCCCACTGCCATCAGCTCCTTCCCAGCTGGGCTGACTTAGGAGCTTGGAATGCCAGACCCCAGGGCAGCAGCCTCCATGGCCCTGCCGATGGCGGCAGCCCTCACCTGGTGGCACGCTGAGCTGTGCTCACCTGGAGTCAGGGCAGCCCCTCCAGCCAGGGCAGCCCCTCCAGCCAGGGCAGCCCCTCCAGCCAGGGCAATGTGAGGTTGATGAGATGGACGAGGCTGATGACCCAAAAGGAGGTGCAGGCCGGAGCTGGAGAGTTGTGCAGTGACCACCAGGACCCTGAAGGTGGCCAAATGCCAGTGGCGATGTTTGTAGCATCTTGGTGTGTGCTAAAGCTTTTGGGGAAAATGACAACAAATACCAAAAGAATGACCTCCCTAATTCTCAGGCAACATAGGTGGACACAGGTCCCAGTGGACGGTGCCACAGAGGCAGCGGGTTCCCCTCCTCTCTGCTTCACATGAAGAACTTTTCAAGCACATTTCAAGATGCTCCAGAGGAGACTGAGCCCACAGTAAGAATCGGAAAGTCATCAGCCCTGCCAGCCAGTAGGTGGGGACGAGCTCAGCTATCCAAATCTGACCTCGAACCTTTTAACCTGTTCTGTGCCATTTCACTGTCTCTGCTCAGGCCCCTACTGCTTAAATCCAAGTTGCAGATGGGCCTCGCACAGGAAACATTGGAGACAGGCCACCCACACCTGATCTGGGTGTCCCAAGAAGACATTAGAAATGTCTTCTAACAGGGGAGGTATGGGGATCCAGAGATGGATCCCTGGGTCCCTGACAGTCCCCCCTTGGGACAGCAAGTCTGGGCACCGGGGCACCTGAAGACCCGGGGCTTGCCAGGCGGCTGCCACCTGTGTGACTGTATTTACAGTCAGGTGTGTTGGCCGGGATTCTCTGTAACAAAGCTCTGTGCTCACTGGGAGGCTGGACAGATCATGGGTCACTACAAAAGTTTTGAAATAGACTTTGCCATGGTCACTTCCAAGAACCAGCGGACAGTGTCCTTTCTGATTCACCTGCGCCAGTTTCAACTCATGCGGCTTATCTGTGCTGCCGAGCGGGCTTCGTTGGTTTCCATCTGCCTGGATTTTACGTTTCTTGATTTTCGTGTACCTCAAAACCTTCATAATGACCCATGTAGGATCCTTGATGACAAAACAGAAATGTCAGCCCCTGGGAGCTGACAAGGGAGTGGCATCTTCACTGCGGTTTCCTCCAAGATTCAGTCACCCTTGGGCCCAAGAAAAGGTGGGCCTGGCCACCAGCACGTGAAAAAGAAACACAGCATGACTCGCGGGCACTCGCGGGGACACGGCAGGGACTCGTGGGGATACAGTATACACTTGCCAGGACATGGCACACACTCACAGGGGCACATGTCACACACTTGTGAGAACACGGCATGGACTCACAGGGACACAGCAGGCACTCATGGGGACATGGCATGAGCTCGCCGGGGACACAGCTCCCACTCGCGGGGACACAGCTCCCACTCGCGGGGACACAGCACACACTTGTGGGGACACGGCACCCACTTGCGGGGACACGGCAGGCATTCGCCAGGGAACTGCCCGAGGGGGCAGCCTGGTCGGTGGTGCGGAGGAGGATTATTTTTCACTTTTAGACAAACCGGAGTCCTCATGCATTTCCAAGTGCTGCCCTGACATACACACACACGGTAAGGATATATTCCTTTAATTTTTAGAACTGGAAAATGTCTTTAATTCAGTCTATGCTCATGTGACACACTTGTCTGAGAATCCACCACCCACCCGGCCTGGTGCGCGGGCCCACTCGTAAGCAGCCAGCAGGTAAATGTGCGCGTGGCTGTTAGGTAGCATCTTCAAACAATTAAATGAAAAAAAAATCATATTTATGCATATGTGTGTATATAGCACACACACATACAAATATATATATATATATACACATACATATATAAAAACCATGACATTCTTAATTCTGGCCCAAGGTAACAAATCACACATTTGGTGCCACTCACCAAACATCTAGCAAATGCAGGACGTGTCACTTAAAGGCCTGGTTGTCTGGGTTGAGGCTGCGCCCCGGAACGAATGGTGATGGAATACCAGGTTACCAGAAAGAGGGTGCTCACCTGTGGAACTGTGTTTCCAATATATGCGTGTATATATATGCGAGCGTGTGTGTGCGCGTGTGCCGACCGTGTGTGAGGTGGCTTGCCAAAGTAGAAAACCTCGGTTTATTCTGTTTGTACTAAGCATGGTAAATAAATCGGATTTCGTAACCTATAACACAATTCTTTTTTAAAAAGGAACGTTGAAGGTCTCCAAAAATTGCTACGGTACAAAAAAAGTGTGTGTGTGTGTCTGTGTCTGTGTGTATTTATATATTTATATATGTATATTAACCAGAAATAGCGACTCTATCGGAAGAGACTCCCACCCCTGTTTTCTGTTAAGATTTTCTACGAGTGACTTGCTGGGCTTCGGCGCGGCCGCCGAGCCTTCAGGTCAGTACATGGCACATAATGGTATTATTGGCACAGGTTCAGAATCGTAGGACAAATCCTCGTTTCACGTGCTTCCTCCGGTCCTTCCGGCTTGGTGGCCTTTTCTCTCTGACCCCAGTTCCTTTCTTGTTTATCTTCTTTCCGTTCTCCAAAGAAAACTCCGGGAGAAGGCAGTCACCCATAGGCGTGAGCATTTGTACAAAAATATATTTGGCCTCGAGCGTCCTGCTCTGTGAGTTTCCCGCCGACAAACAGAAGCGGCAGGTCGGGGACCCTCCCCCTTAGATATCTTAGTTTTAGGTTTTGTAATTTTTTTGTTTTGTTTTGTTTTGTTTTTACAGGTTCACCCACGGAATCCTGTGTGGAAAGAAAACAAGAAGAGATTAAATGGTGCAGGCTCAGCATAGGTGGGTCTGCAGGGCCTCACGGTCTGGCTGAGCCTTTACATAGAGGCCTCCCTCCCAGGCCTCCAGCTCCCCCAGCTCTCCTACTCCAGTAACTCACACCCAAGTGTCCCGAGAATATGAGGAAGGCCTCACTGGGGCTGTTGGCAGGAAGAGGACTGATGCTAGGGATGCCGGTGATGTGAACCTGGTGGGAATCACTGTGGTCTGTGGTGGTCTGTGTTTTCCCAGGGGCGGCTGGGACCACCTGCTCTATCACTGGCCTGAGTGTGGCCACCCACTGCTCACTCCCTGTCCAGCCTCCCACCCATGGAGGGCAGCTGGGCCTGCTCTGCTCCTGAACTGTTTCTGTCCCCCACTCAGCTAGCGGCTCCCTGCAGACAGGCCTCAGCTATATCAGGAAAATCACCTCCTGGGTCGTCCCAACAGGTGACCTAGCTGAACAGAGAAGGAAGGTGACCAGCCAGGAGGTCAGGTTAGCTGGCTACAGCTCCACCCTCAGCAGGGCCTGCTCTGACTAGCAGGCCTGAGTCTCAGGAAACAGAAGGCTTGAGGGACCACCTAGTAGGTGTGTGCTCGCCAGAGAGGCAGCCAGCAACATCCTCCTGGGCTCAGGCAGCCCAAGGTAAACTTGAACTTAGCACAGTTCAGCCAGGTGGGTGAGTCGGGGCAGTGAGGGCTGCTCAATCTGCTGTCACTCAGAGCTCCCAGCTGTAGCCCATGACTCTAGGCAGTCAGAACTCTCAATAAATAGAAAGGGCATCGCCACTGCATCCTGTCCAGACAGACCACACAAAGAGGAGGGTGAGGGCAGCCCCATGATCCCAAGATGAAGCTGGGAACAGCACTGGACAGGAGGTCTGCAATCCCCACCAGCTCGGGCACAGCGGGAGGCCATAGGGGCTCCACAGTCTCACTGTCAGAGCATTTCCCAAAGTCAGATTCCTGTGCCCACCTCTAGGGACCTCAGGATGGAGCCTGTGAGTGTCAGCTGCTAAGAGATACCCAAGGATGTCCAGTGGCCCCCCAGGCCCAGGGCCTCTGTCCAGGTACTGTATTCTCCCTCCAGAATCAACTAAGCCACCACAGTGACTGTGGCTGAAGACCCTGGTGCAGGACATGTCCTGGGAGTGGACAGTGAGGCATCCCCGGGATGGTGTCTCCTGCATGACACTGGGCTCCATGTCCCCTCCCAGAGCCTCAGCCTGTCACAGCCTATTCATCCGGGACTGGGGGTAAGGGCGCTGGTCCCCTCTAAGCCTGCCTGACAGAGCACCACCTCCCCTTGCCGACTCTCTCCAAATGACACCCGTGTGGGCAGCTCCATGGAGCCTACAATGGTGCGTGTACTCCCCTGCTGGGGCACAAGTGTCACCCCACATAATGAAACAGGACATGCCGTTGGACTGGTGTGGGAGCACTCTGGGTAGCCCTGCTCCAGCTGTGTCTGCCCTACCCACCTCCTCCACATTTCCAGGATTTGGGGGGCGGGTTTAAAAGTGAAGCAGTTTAACAGGGAGAAATAGCCATGTCCATCTTCACTTTAAGTTTTTGAAAGTTAAAAAATGTGGGAAGAAATACTATGATTCCACTTCTATGAGGTCTCCTGAGTCATCAACTTCACAGGGACAGGAAGTAGAATGGGGGTCACCAGGGCTTGCAGGGGAGGGGGATCACTGTTGATGGGGACAGAGCGTCCATCTGGGAAGATGTAAGTGATGTGAAGATGGTGGTGGTGACAGGCCACACAGAAGTGGGACTGTCCTTAATGTCACTGAGCTGTGCACTTAAAAGGGGCTAAAATGTAAATTTTATGTTATATATATTTTTCCCATTAAAAAAAAAATTTTAAAAAGAGATTAAAGATGTGGGGTCACTTAAGGCTGGGCTTGGTGGCCTGGGATAGTCCCTGCTATAAGCTGCTGTTCTATTCTCCTGGTTACTGGTTATCAGCAGAGCCAAGTGCCCAGGGCTGGGCCACATGTCAGACAGGGGCCCAGATGAGAAAGGTTTCCTGTGTGAGCTGCTTCCCAATCCTGGGTCCTGACCTTAACATGGGAACCAAGGCCACTTTCCTTGGCTAGCCACTCTCCCGCAGGTGCCCCAGGTGGCCTTTCCCTGCCACCTTCCCACTGGACAGGCTTCCGTGTTTCTCGCACTGGCTCTGTGGATCCACCTGCCATTGTGCCCGCCTCCCTCCTCCCCCTTCCTCTCTGCGCTCCAGGCAGCTCTCCAGCCTCGGACTGCAAATCTCCAACTTCATGTCCTTCTGGTTTCAGCTAGAAAGGTCACCCCTGGGAGGCCTCCTCAGACCACACTCTGACTGGACGGCACTCTGTCATCTCGTCCTTGAGAGTGCCCTGCCTGGTCCTCCTTGGGCGCAGGGCAGCCTGCACCGGGCTTTATCTGCGTATGTGTGAGATGCATCACTGGCTGGTAGGACAGCTCCCTGGGAGGGGGTCCCCTGCCTGGCTCCTTTCTGTTTGCTCAGCTTCCCGCTCAGTGGGAAATCGATGCTGTGCGAAGCTCAGAGAAGCAGTGTGGGCAGGAATCAGCTCATTTCCGTTCCAGACACTGACCCTCCACAGCCTGAGACGGCCCTGGGTGCTGCCTGCAGGTGATGCGGAGGGGAGGGTAGCTTGGAGGAGGATCGATGGGGGCTGGAGCCAGAGCCTCCAGTGCCAGGCAGCCTGTGCCACATGGGGAAGGTCCTCTCCAGGTCTTCAGGCTTCCCTTTTGACTCAGGGTCCCAGGACGAGCAGAGGAGAAAGGGAGAGAGAAATGCTTCCAACCTCGCATCTGACGGGCGTTTGTAGAGTAGCTCTGAGCCGCTGCAAAGGGTCGGGTGGTGTCCTGACACCAAGCCCAGGGCGGGGCTCAGAGGCTGCCCACACTCACCTTCCAGGTGTGCCCCCGAGTTCCAGCTGAAATTCTGCTGCTCCAACTTAAGCACATGGGGAGTCTTTGGGCTTCTCAGTTCCAGAGACTCAGCGCATGAGCCGCTTAGCCCAGAGAGGGACTGAGGGGCCCAGGTCAACTGGGAAGGACCCCAGGCCGGCCCAGAGACCCTGGCTGGAGCACAACACAGCTGAAGGCAGTGTCCACTCAGGCTGTGTCTAAGTTGTTTCCAGATCCAGATCTGGGATAAATTCTGCCCTCTGCTGCCTGGAAAGGGATTCTCAGGCTGGTCCGGCCCCACCAGGTTGCAAACGTTCCCCAGGTCACTGGGTTTAAGGGTCCTTATCTGCTTTTGCAAAACAAAGAAAACAGACCATTGCCAGGTTTCCCTGCAGGCTCTTTTCTCCACAACCTGCAGTGGCCACTTCCTCCCCCCCTCAATTTCCCTGGGGCCGGTTCTCAGCTTAGAAAGAGTGGTTTCCAGAAGGGTCTGGATGTTGCTTTGAAAAATGTGTTCCTTCAAGTAACTGAAGTTTGATATTCTATTAACGTATTTTTTTAAGAGGAAAAAGTGGGAAGGCTCAGGTGCATTTCTTATTTTTTTTTTATTAGTTATGTCTCCACTGTGTTTTTGAAAATAATAATACCAGGTGATTGATTTCTCACTTTCTTGGGATTCAAGAGCTTTTGTGACTTCTCGGGCTCTGTTCGGAATGAAGTGGCCTTGGCAAATGGAAAGACCTGGATGTTAATGAGCTTTCTCTGAAGTTTACCTGTTCTATGAAAAATGGCAGAGCGTCAGCCCAGGAGCCCAGGCTGGCCTGCCCACCAGCTCCCCTTCCTTGGGGTAGAGGAGGGCTAGATTCATTTCATCTGTGTCCAGAGCAATCCAGCTCCACCAGAGGCTGTGTCAGGCAGGCATCGGCTGGCGTCGCTCATAGAGGCTGGATCTGAGGAAGCTGGATACAAGTCTGCCTGGGAGCCGCAGCAGGCATGGCGGGCAACCCGCCGGCGGGAAAGCAGGCTCGGCCACAGTGCGGGTCCCAAGCGTGCACATAGGTTAGAGTGAGAAGACACGGGTGTGATACCAAACTGCTATATCATCATTAAAAATGCATTTGGAGAGGCTTAACAGCTAGGCAAGAGATAAATATCTCCACTGGCTCTTAAACCTTAATTAAATGTTTTAGTATTAATTGGTATTTATTTAAGGGACAATAAGTGCCCTAGTAAATCTGAGAGAGCTTTCTGGCTATTCTCTGCTCCATGCTTATGTCTGGGCATTAATTGTAAGAATCAGGAGATACTTGGAATCCAAATGCTTTCATCCCAGTTAGTGATAAATGGTCTGTCCACACAGCCATGGAATCTTTAAGCATTTATCCAAGGACTAACGAGGCTGTCTGCATAACCCGCCTGGTCCGAGTGTATTGAGGATACGGCTGTGAGTGGTCAACAGACTCCAGGGCTGGGTGTGGCTGACTCACGGCACATCTTGGAAGGCTCTTCTGGACCCCTCAAATGACCTACCTGAGATTCACAGGGAGGGGTCAGCCCTCGGGACACAGAAACGTTCCAAACATAGGTGAAACAGCTCCTGGGGACCACCTTGGGCCTCTTGGAGCACCCACATCTCTCTCTTTCTTACCTGGGAGTGACTGTGGGGATGGCTCACCAATACTGTTTGTGGGGGGCCTTCAGGAAGGCCAGACCCAGGCTGATGAGCTAGCCAGGTTTTCCAGAGCAGAGGAATAAATAAACATACTTTTGTTCCCAATTTTAATTTTTTTTTTTTTTTACAGTTAGTACTGTTGCTCCCTCCTTCAATGAGAAAGAGAGGTCCCTGGGCTTAGACCTCTAGATGGGTGAGTTAGGTGCCTCAGTTTACCCACTTATAAACTGGACTGCCAGAACCAGGGCAGAGTGCCACGTGAACATTCACATAGGGAACTGTCCCCTCTAGGTAACCCCTCTGGCCCTGTGAGCTCGTGGCTATTGGAGGTAGAGAATAGGTGATATTCAGCGTGCAGACCCAGCAACTCAGGTGCCAATAAATCAGGCTTTCGTGAATTTTTAAATTGTAACAGAGAGGCTGGCTACCACCACGACTCTGCTAGCTTGGTTGCACTCCAAAGAGGGCTCCGAGTAAGGTGAGGTGAGCCCCTTTGAAGGCAGACAAAGGCACTTGCTTCTGAGGGACGCGCTATTCCTGGTGCACCCGCTCTTGAATGGCTGGGGATGGCCGGGTACCACCTGCCTTGCCCACACAGACTCAGCACAGGCCTTCTCAAACTGCTGCTTTCCCCATTCTGATCTAATTACATTTCCTTGCCAGTTGGCGGAACATGTTGGCTTGGGACAGGGAGTAAGGGCTAGAGATTTGATTTGGAGCAAACGTGCGATTCATTAGTGCTAGGACTAGAAACTGACCGATCCATCCCTCCTGACTGCAGCCGGCTGTCTGGCCGCCAGCTAAGTGCAGCAGCCTGAGTCCCCCAGAGCGTCCACTGCCAGGCCCTTGACCCCAGTCAGTGCCCCACAGTGGAAGGTGAACAAAGAGAAAAAAAATATTTTTAAAAATCGATATCCTATCCTAGAAATAAAGTTCCCCACTAACAGAAGGGATCTGATGACAGGTTTAGAAGGAACATCTGGGGACATAAAAGCCTCACTCTGTCCGTGAGGATCCTTAGAAAGCCTATCAACTAGAAAAGGAAAACAGAAAGGGAGTCTCAGGCTGCACTACGGACTGTGTGCGTGGAGAGGAAGCCTCGGGCTGCAGGTACGGACTGTGTGCGTGGAGAGGAAGCCTTGGGCTGCAGGTACGGACTGTGTGCGTGGAGCAGAAGCCTCGGGCTGCACGTACGGACTGTGCGTGGAGGGTGTGGCACGGGCAAAGGGGTGAGGACACCCAGCAGCCCGAGTGTGAAGGCGTCTCAGCACAGAGAAAGCAATTTCACGTCTGCATTCAAGTTAATATCACCGAAAGCAAACCGAATGTTCCTGCCCAGCAGAGCATGGAAATTTCATCCTGTTTTGGTACCAGTTCCTGGCTTCAAATTAGTAGATGTCTCAACTCCTCACTTTCTTTATCATTTTTTCCCTTATCTCTTGTTTGTGTATTTCGAAGTCGTGTTTTCATTCTGCTTTGCACCCTCTCCCCATGTACAGACACTCGATGGAGGTGTGATTCCTGCCTACTTAGCTGCCCCCTCCCCTTCCTGCCGAGGGAGATGACGACGGCCGGCACCGCAGAAAGGTTTTCCCCACCACACCGGCCATGCCTGCCTGGGCTTTCCTGAGGGACGGAAGGTGGTGCTGAGGGTCACCGTCATGATGTGAATCGGGGCTCACAGTGTGTGCTGCTCTCCTCTGTTGGGATGTGGGGAGCATTTGTAACAAATGACGCTGGGAAATGCAGAGCCTGGCCCTCTGGCTGCCACCCACCAGTGATGCCAACTTGGAGTGGAGGGGAAGAAGAGGTGAGGCGAGGGGAGGAGGAAACTGATGTACATACCGTGAAACAGACACGCGGCGTCTGCCCTGCCCCCAGGAGGTAAAAAAGGCTTCGGCCAGTCAGCAGGAGATTTCAAACCATTTCTCAGACACAAAGGCCACGGGAATGAGATGCCGATCAGAGGAGGACGGCCTGCAGCAGGAGAGAAATGGACTTCTGTGGGCAGACACTGACACATGGGCGGGCTGGGCGGGCCCGCTGCGGACAGGACCCCCAGAGAGGCCGTGCCAGACATGGGCCCACTGGGCTTTGGCAGGAAGGAACCCTGTTCTCTGTGGCTGAGGAGAGGTCTTCCTGGATTAATGCTCCCTCTTACCCTGGAGGGCTTTGGAGGACACAGACCTGAGGGGCCCTAGGCATGGTGGGAGGGACTCAGGAGTGGAGACAGAAAGCCCCACGGTTGTGCTGTCTCCAGATTTTAGTTTTAAACTTTGCAGGATGAGCCTGGGGTCCCTGCCTCTGACAGCAGAGATGTAATGTGCTTTATCACATGTGGCAGAAAGGATGGGACCTGGCTCCTAAAATGTTTCCCCATAGTCTGTCACCCTGGAGACAATACTACCGCGTCTCAGGGCCAGGGAAATCCAACAGTGTGTTACTTTAGGACAAACAGTCCTGAGAGAGGTGAGAACCCAGTGCAGAGAGGCTGCCCTGCCAGGGCGTGAGAGCACCGCTGTGCCCACCCTGTGCTGGGACGGGACCCTCCTCTCAACAGGGACATGGAGAGTGGAGCAAAACAAAAAAATGACACCAAGGGCTAAACACATCCCAACACACAGACACACACTCAACACCAGGGTTTCAAAACCCTTTCACCAATTCTTTGTGAACTTGGCCTTGAGGTGTCAACGTGAGCTCCCCAAATGTCTTGAGTATACAACAAAAGCTGATTAGAATGGCAGCTCTGAGCCTTGCGGTGCTCTGATGTGCCCCCTGGAGGGAAGACACCATCTGAGGCTGAATACAGCGGCCTGTGACACAGAGGCACAGACAGTGGTGAGGAGGGCAGCCCACAGGACGAGGACAGGGCAGTCAGGGACACTACAGCCAGCCCCAGCCTGGCAGCCGTTCCCTGCCAGGGTCCAGCCTTCCCGGTCCCTGAACAAATCAGCAAACCAAGCAGAAGAAACCACCCACCCTTTCTGAGAGTGACCCTGGTCGGGAGACCTCGTCCCCTGGCTGCTAATCCTGCTGCTGGCAACCCACTCATTTCTTCCTAAGATTTTCAAGTTGTTGGATTTTTTATTTTTTAATTTACAAAATGATGCCAGAATGTATGTATGCTTGCATAAAAAGAAAAAAAAATAAAACTTACTGATATTTTAATTTAATTCCGGACAAATCTCCCAGAGCTGAGTCAAAGTTCCTTAACCATCCCAAGGATGGTTGTGGGGGGTGCGTCTTTTTTGAGGATTACACAGGAATAATAAGAAAATATTTCACCAGAAATTCTGGTCCAGAGGTTTAGGGAGTGTTTGCTATTTTTGTAAGATTTGGTGCCGACATTTTATTGGCGGTGGCTCACAGATCCTGACCGTTACAACCTGGCAATATTCAGAAGGCTTTGGACTGGGCATGGCCCACAGGGTGAGGGAGCAAGGGCTGGGGAACACAACAACCACCCGCTGCCCAGTTGTGGGCCCTGGACACCACAGCCTCTCACAGCGGAAATGCCTGCTGTCCAGCTCACCCCTCTCGCTGTGCTGAACCTGAATCTGCATCTCGCTGGGCCTGCATCTGCAGCCCCTCAAAGCCATCTGAGGAATGACTTAAACTGACCCACAGCCAGTACTCGGCCACACCTGGGCCCGGGGTCTGGAAGCTAGACAGCCAGGAGCTTCATAGCTACAGGGTCTCACCGAGCCAGAGCTTACCGGTTTCCATTGAACGTGGATTTGTACTCCCCTGCCGGGTGCAGCGTCTCGTCAGTGTACACAGGGACAGATGCCCTGACACACTCATGTGAGCACTGGAGGGTCTCGTTGTAGGCCGTGAAAATGTCCAGGCTGCTGGCCACGCGGGCCGAGGTGAAGTCCGTCAGGTTCTGGCAGCTCTCTTCCTGCTGGTTGGTCTTCCGCTGGTGGCTGTTCCGACGTGTGTTCCCGCTCTGGGCACAGCTGGAAGAGAGACAGGCTGGTCTGGGGGCGAGCGGGGGCCAGGACCCACGTGCACAGCCCAGGCAGGCGGGCTTGGGGCCTCGCAGCTGCACACAGGGGACACATCGCCTAATATCAAATGGCAATACCCAGTCTTTTTAGAAAGATCAACCACAATGAAGCAATCAACTCTTAAAAAAAAAAATTTAAATTTCAAAGTGGCCATTACAGCAGGAAGAACTACCCAGGAGGGAGGGTGGAGATCTGTGACATCCGAGCTGGGGCCTGTTTTGGCTGACAGTGGTGCTGACTCGGTTTCCTCATGAACACCTCCATGGCTTGAGAACCGCGCCAGGCACGTGCTGCTAGTGTGTGTGGAAGCCTTTCGGTGCAGTTGGGGCGACTTGTCCCTTTCTTTTAGAATAGAGCATGTAGGCAATGACTTTCGGGGTGAGGGACAGAGCTGGGAAGTCTTGGTGCTCTACACCAGGCGGGTGAATGTCCCTGAGCTGGAAAAGAGACCATTAAGGTCTTCCTGGGGTTCATCCTGCCGGTGCCCCCGGACCCTTCCCTATTTTCCAGATCCTCTGGACCATGGGGACTTCCAGAGGCCATGCAGGCTGACCACAGAGCTACCACCCTCACCAGTTCAGGGACTTGATGAAGGACAGTCAGGGAGCCCCAAAGCCACTCCTGGGACGAGGCCACGGGAAGGACAGAGGGCGGCATCTCCCCGAGTCAGGGTGCCATTTTCCCCACACCCACCTAGGCCCACACCTCTCCTTTACCCTCAGAGCCGATGTGGAGGAGGGGTTCCTCGTGCACCCAGGATACCCCCTGCCTTGGCTTTCCAGGGAAAGTGAGCCTCAACCCAGAAGGGGAGATGAAGAAGTGGATGAAACAGCTGGAGGGCCAGCCCTGGGGAAAAGTCTTCCTGCAGGGCAGGCTCAGGTTCCTGGAACTCATGTGCCCATCCCCTAGGACAGCTCTCCCCACCCAGGGGCTCTTTGAAGGTTTGTACAAACTCAAAAGTGTGAAAAAACAAGATGATGTCTGTGCCATTAGTGACCGAACAGGTGCGGAGTCTGCTGTCTCCTCTGGGGAGAAGAGCGGTGGAATTTGTCCCAGGGTCCAGGAGTCTGGAGCCCCTTCTCCTGCCAGTCCCTGCTTAAGAACCCCTGCCATGAACTCCCTGTCCTACCCATCACCGTTCCCCAGAGACCCCTGGGCCCAGTCTGCTGGCCATCAGAGGGGGGCTGAAGGCCTTGCTTTGCAGGTCAGGAGGGATGGGTGGCGTGTGTGTTTGCTGCCCCCACCTCCCCTCGGCCTGCCACCAGGTCCTACTGCCACTGTCCCCAGAGCCCTGCTGTCTCCCCTGTCTTCATGTGGCTCCTGGTTAATATGAAGTTCCAATGCCGTTTCCACCATCAGCCCTGTCTGATTTCCTGTTACTGTCTGCAGCTGGCAAGGGGATCTCTGGGTCTGTTACTCTACCAGAGCGTTTGAACTTTGATGCTAAAGGGAGACACGGTCGCTGGCAGAGTGGCTGCAGGCAGGTGAGGTCTCTGAGGTGCTTTTGAGCAGCAGGGTCACCCAGCAGTCCCCGATTGTCTCAGGGGGGAATCAGGTGTGCATACCCAGCAAGGCCGGCCTCAAAGTAGGCCAACTTCCAGGAGGAAACAGGCAAAGGCCGCCCGCAGCAAAGCAGTAACCTAGTTCAGCAAACAGAGCAGCTTGGAGAGGAGGGAGGGAGGAAACAAACCGGGCCAGCCCAGAAACCTGCTACCCAGACAGTGAGGGGTGGGTGCAGGATTCCAGCCGGCCAGGTTGCTGGCCAGAGGGTGCTGCCCTACCTCTTCCAGAAAGGTCCTGAGGAAATGAGAAGTGGGGATTGTACTCTGGGCAGCCAATGGCCACAGGCATACTCAGGCCCCAAGAAGGATACGGAAACGGACTGCACGCAGCCGCAGTCCAGCCACGCAGTGATAGGCCGTGTCCAGGGGCCCGTGTGGAAAGGCAGCAGCCTGCGGTGGTCACACCATCAGGGTGGGAACCAGCAGAGAGCGCTGGGTTTGGAAAGTGGGGGCCTTTCCACATGCACCTCCCCAGATACTCCCACAGACCCCCATTTCCAGGCCAGAAGGGTTGGAGCCTTACCAATTTTTTAAGACAAGAGTTGTGATGAGAGCAGCTATGACCATGATGAGCGAGACGGTGATGGTGATGATCTGATGGACAGCCAGACCTGGAGGAGAGAGGGGGGAGGGCACGGGTGAGACCAGGCTCGGGGGACGAGGGCACCAGGGAGGGGCAGCCCCCCGGCCAGGCTGTGGAATTCAGGGCCCATCCACACAGCCTCAAGCAGCACAGCGGGCACTCGGGTCTCTCCTGCCCGACACACGGCCAGTAGGATGGTGGGTGCTGTGGGTACTGAGGCTGTTCTCACCTGGGGGCCAGAAAGGAGGCTCTGGCTCTGGCCTCACTCTCTGCTTCCCATTGTCCTCTCCATCCCTGAGGTGTGAAGTGGCCCATGGGAATCTGTGTCCTACTAGCACCTGCTGAGGCCTTCACCCACAGCCTTTACCTGGTGACAGGTGAGCTTCGGCTGAGACATTTCCTGAGGATATGTCATCTGCCCTTTCTCTCCTTTACCCTGGGCCAGTTCTGCTCCTTGATTCTGGAGCTCTGAGCACTGCCAGTGGTGCTGGCCTGTGAGTGGCAGCAGGGTCTGGCCTGCCCTGGGGTGAGCCAGGATGACCTAGGACTTACTGGGGAATGTAGGGAGGGGACACACATAGGTGACGCCCTTGTAGGCCCTGGGCACTCAATCGCTGGGGCTCTGCCCTCTTGCTAGGGTCCTCTCTAAGCAGCTCACTGCCTGAGATGATTCCAGGAATGAAAGATTTAGGACCAGAGGCAGGTGCTTCCCAAGGAGTGCCCACGGCCTGGCCTTGCTGCCCCACTCACTCTCTAAATGGGGCTGGGGCACTGGAATCAGCACAGCGGGGAAAGAACTGGCTGAGTCAAAGGGGGACAGCCAGAGCCCAGAAGGGACAGCCAGAGCCCAGAAGGGACAGCCAGAGCCCAGAAGAGACAGCCAGAGCCCAGGCCTCATGCTGCCTGCAAGCCCCTCTGCACGGAATCCTCTCCCATCTCCTCCCTCTGTCCCCATCCCTCCCGCCATCTCTGCCACTAACCACAGATGTGGGACGGGACGGGGAAGGCAGGCTCCCCACAGGCTGAGGTCCCTGATGACTATATATCTGTCTCATCCTTCTCTGGGCAGGGACACTAAGGGCAGCCCCTGGGTGATTGCACTGGCCAGTCAGGGCCCCCCAGAAGGTCCAGGGGGCCTGTCAGGGAGAGCCCTCAGGGTGCTAGGAGATAAGGGGAGTGAGGGAGCTTGCTGGGCCTGCAGGTGGCAGTGGCTCACGCTACTGAAAGCCATCCATCTCCCCAGGTTCTTGACTGGACATGGTCAGAGCAACTGTCCTGTCTTCCTGGGCCTTGGAACTTAGCATCCACTCCACAGAGGCCCACCCATCACACCTGACCAACCTGGCAGGCCGCTGGGTTGAGAACACCAAATGTGCCTGTTTCAGCATGGCAGGTTTCAGACTGTTAAGATTTTTTTGGCCGTCTCCCAAGGACACAGTCACACAAACAGATGTTGCCTCTCTGCTGAATATGATTCTCATGGGGAAATCGTTAATAAATGAATAAAAGTTGATGCAACCAGAAGACCTGCTTTGTCTCCCAATTTCCCTCTCTTTGGGGGCAACTGCTGTTTGTCATGAGGAGGTCCCCTCATGAACCCACGGGGTAAGAATGACCAGGGCAACAGTGGGACCTGTTCATCCCTCTTTGATCTACTGATCTGAGAATATTTGTTGACACCTACTCTGTGCCCACAGTGCCAGTGGTGACCAGATCAGCTGTGGTGCCTGCCTTCAGGGAACAACTGCTCTGGTGGCTATTTTATAACATTGCAGCCTTCACCGCTAGTTCTGGTGAATGACCTCACATACATGCAATTGGTGGCATCTGCCACAAATGTCTAGGCAAGTTTCCCTCCTCCAGGACTGCTAAGTCAGTCTGCCAGTGGGGTTGAAAGCTAAGGTAGCCACAGGCCCACAATCAATCCCACCAATGGTGGAGTGCCCACTGGCCCCAGTAATCTCTATCTATGTGCCAAGTTCCCTGGGACCAACTCAGGTTGGATAGACAGAGGACGGACTGAAAAGGATAGACAGTCATGGAGGCTGTTTACCAATTCAGTCTCTCTTGTTCTCCACTGACACACTCCTCCCCCCAGCCCGGTCAAGAGACAGCCATGCTGTCATGAAGAGGATGTGCTCATCCTGTGTCTGCTTCCAGGGATGAGGAGGCTACTGCTGCTGATGGTGATGATGGTTGTGGTGTGAGGATGAAGGTGATGGTGGTGATGGTGGTGATGGTAATAATGATGGTGATTGGAGTGATAGTGATGTGACAATGGTGGTGGTGATGGTAGTGATAGTATTGGTGGTGATGGTGATGATAATGATGGTGATGATGATGGTGACAATGGTAGTGATGGTGACAATGGTGGTGGTGACAATGGTGGTGATGATAATGTTGGTGATAATGATGGTGATGATGGTAATGATGGTGGTGATAGGGGCGACAGTGATGGTAACGATGATGGTGATGGTGTGATGGTGATAGCGATGATGATGGTAGTATAGTGATGGTGGTAATGGTGATGGTGATAGTGGTGATGGTGAGGATAGTGATAGTGTTGGTGATGATGGGTATGTGCTGGTGGTGATGGTGATGGTAATGATGATGGTGATAGGAGTGATGGTGATAGTGACAATGGTGGTGGTGATGATGATGATGATGATGATAGTGGTGATGGTGATGGTAGTGATAGTGCTGGTGGTGATGGTGATGATGATGGTGATAGTGGTGATGGTGACAATGGTGGTGATAGCGTTGGTGATGATGGTTATGTGCTGGTGGTGATGGTGATGATGGCGGTGATGATAGTGGTGATGGTGATGGTAATGATGATGGTGATAGGAGTGATGGTGACAATGGTGGTGATGATGATGATGATGGTGGTGGTGATAGTGGTGATGGTGATGGTAGTGATAGTGCTGGTGGTGATGGTGATGGTAATGATGGTGATGATGATGATGATGGTGACAATGGTGGTGATGATGATGGTGATAGTGGTGATGGTGATGGTAGTG